GTGCATTGAATCTTTTGATTAAAATGACGTTGTTTCAAAAATTTATTTGTTAAATGTGAAATATTAAGTACCCATTTTCATTTGACAGCATGTGATCATAAATTAAACTAATCTCTAGACGAAGTGTACTAATTACAACAACATATATATACAAGAATAAATCTAAATAAGTTATAAAATATATATACGCATGCAAATCACAATTCTATATTCGTAATGTACAACAATTGTTTTTGATACACTAGATAATGGATACGTAATAGTATATAATTTTCTTCAATATCAACGGGTTGGTTTTTACTCTAAACTTATTAGCGCTTAAAAAATATTTCGTATATTTACTTGTGCAGGAAAGGATAGCTTTTTTGGGACGAAAAATAGAAAATGACAAAGACAACAACAAGAAGCTGCAGCTTGAGAATCAAATGTTGCAATTACAATTGGATAGCATCACTAACAAATCTAATTTACTCGCTGGTATATACATATATATACATATTTTATTTCCCACAAAAATATTTATTTTTTTATTTGACATTTATGTAGGAACAATTAATAATATAAAAACTACTCACAAAATAACTATAATTTAAAAAACATATTTTATAGTGATTAATATGTAAATAATAGTACATAAATGTTCTCATAATGTGAAACTGAAATTGACTTTATTCACCTTGATTGTGTGCAAAATGAAGAGCTGGAAGCTGAGTTGAAGAGGCTTAAGGAACTTGAGGATGAGGAAGATGAAGAGTATATCGACATAGACCAGTATCTCAACTTTGACAACATGAACATTTCCCCATTCAGGATTGACGGCATATGAAAATGTTAGGCCAACATTGAGTGTCAACAAATATCATCTTTGTTAAATCATTTCTTTTCTTTGAGGTAGTGTTGAGTTTGAGTTTGTGTTTGGGCGGGGGGGGGGGGGGGGGTTGACGGGTGTTGAAGTTATGAACTTTCATAATGCATTTTTCATTATTAGATTCGAAAACAATGTTGTGAACTTGGTGATCTGTATGGATCTTTTAACTCCATGTATAATTTTAAGCTGACTTTAATTTATGTTTAATGAATAATTTCTTAAATATCACGTGATTAAAGTCACACTTCATGCAATTCTTTGTAGTAAATCTGAGAAGTATTGTGATGTTACTTCTTAACATGATTTCAAGATGTTACTAGTACATTTTGGCATGTTCAGTTCTAGGCTTCTAGTTGGCAATGATAAAGATTTTGTTGAAGAAAATTTCTCAGAGTGGTTCTCTATGTTGGGATATTGATTTATTAGAAAAGATCCAATCTCTTGAATATTATGTGAAGAAGTTAGACTAAATTTATTTTTTCAGCAATTCAGGCCAATGGGGAAGTATCGTTCCTAATTTCTTACCATAATTGAAAAATCCTAAACAAAAAGCACAGTCTCCATATTTGGCTAGTCTTTTTCTTATAGGAAAATGATTATAATGAAATGTTCTATCATTATTTAAAAGTCATCTCACTCGTTATGGAAACCTAATTTTTTTTGTAAATGCACAGCCAAATTAATTAAGGGTGACGCAAAGTAAATCTCAAAACTTTGAATTTGATTCTGGATGATGTCACTCCACCAGAGCAGGAATTTTACCACTCACTATAGTGGTTGCTAGGCTGTTATGATGAGACTAAAACCTAGCATCTACAAATTTTATAATTTGGCTCCTCCTCTTCAGTTGGAAAAGATGTGAGGGTTACTCCAAAAATCCTCCTAGGATGGTCCAAGCTTGGTGACAACAGAGAGGGAGGATTCCAGCGCAAATAACGGGCATTTTCACTATCAAGGTGTCTCGATAGAGGGATTGGGCCTCTATGGTGAGGTAAATCATTATAAATGGAGAAAATAACCTCAAGATCGCTCATTATTATGCAAGAACATTTTGTGGTAGAGATTTTCACTTTTTTCATCTGGAATCTTTGAAAATTTAAGTAATTTATTTCCCAGCTTGTTACTTTGATTCATGTACCTTAGAATTGATAGTTGTTATCCTAGGGGAGATTTGGGCTTGAATCAAATGATTTGTTAATTATCTTTTAAGTATTAAGGTCAATTCTTTAGTGTGAAAGTTGTTTAGGGTATGAATTAAGGCACTAGAATCCCCTAGAAAAAAAGTTGAGTTGAAAGTTTCCTTATCAATCTAGTTTTGATATAAGTTTTTACTTAGGTCAACTTCAAATAATAATATCTCTCCGCACATGATGAATTAGGTGACCTAGCTAGTTAAAGTTCTATGAGTCCTCTTTTCAACTCTACCAAATTTTCCCCATTTTGAGTTCTAAATAAAATGTTATGCCCGTTTTAGTGAATTCTTGTCAGCAATCAAAGTTCGACCGATGAAAACTACAGACAATGGAATGTTCCACGAATAATAGATCCTTCTGTGAAGGCTTGCTACATGTTTTTCCAGCAACTTCTTGCATGCATTTCAAGGTTATTTTAGTCCTATTGCCAAACTTTTTTACCCTATTCCTAGTCTTTTTTAGTGCATTAACTCAGTATATCATCCAACTAGCTAGTTTTCCTCTAAAAATCATCAATTCAACTATTCAAGTATTTATAAAGTCTCTTAAAACTCACCTTGGGTTCCTCTCCTCCGTCAAGAACCCTCACACATTCAAATCAAAATTTCAAGCTACAAAGGGAGACTTTCCATCCAAGGTTTTTTCCAAGTTCTTCCACTCTAAGAACTTCATAAAAGAGTTTATTTTTTCAAGATCAGGCCCCAAGCACAAATTCCTTCAAGAAATTATAGCTAATGTTCTTCATCAAACTCAAGATAAATGATATTTCCACCAAAGTTGTTAGTCTAATAGCTTAATAAACAAGTATGTAAGACTATCATAGTATTGGACTAGTTCATACTTACACCCTACATATGTTTGATTCAATGAGATTTTACATAATTATCTAAGATTATTGCAACACGCATTAAGTAAATAAAAATAATTTTTAAATTTTTTTTCATGAATGTGACACTTTTCTAGGTATTCGACAGTTAAGTTCAAAATTAATAAATATGATATCTGACTATTGAAAAACACACATTAATGACATTCATGCTCTTGAGTCGTGACTAATACAAAATAAAGCAGCAAAAGCAATTTTCTTCACCCCGAGTTTGATGTAAGGACAAAAACTCGGAAATATTCCCAAAAAACCTATTTTACAACATACCTTTGAACTTTGACTTCCTAAACTAACTTCTTCACCCCAAGTTTGATGTAAGGATTTGCGTGAATTATTTCCTAGAGGGACTTATGGAATCCTTATTGTCTTAACAACATGAAAATTGGAACTTATTTAGACATTTCACCCAATCCATTTTTGAATTGTCGTTGTTATGTGTTATATTGTAAATTTTTCTAGATTCGTATTTTTTAGAGCTAGACATGATACTAGCAGTACACATTGATTTTGTATACTGATACAATATTTGCACTTTCTTTGTTCATTACATGTCATATTAGGCGGCTCCAACGTGACCCTAACGGTGAATCCCACGTTATTCTTATCCAACGGTAAGCTACTTTGTTCGGGATTCCATAGATATTCCTTTTTCTACTTCATCTTCCAGACTTAGACAGTAGGCACTCTTGTATTTTTGAGGTTACGTATCAATATTCTAGATTAGTGAATGTTTTGGTACACAACTCTTAGGTTCTACGATTTAAGTTTGTAATTGTTTTATGATAATGTTTTGCTATGAGTAGTGTGTGTTAGTATATGATTGAATTCTCCCATGGAAGATTTACTGTAGGTGCCACTCACGATGGGTGAGGCTTGTGACATATTTAAGTTTAAACGATAGTATTCGACATGCATCATAGTATTCGATATACTGGTTCTACGTATATCTACTTTCAAATAATTATGTATCTTATCACTAACTAACAATTTTCTAACACCATAATAAGGAGGATACACCTAAATACACATTTTTTTGTTGTTATACACTAAAATAACGAGAGAGGCAACAGAGAAGGGGTGGGAGGCGAGCGAGATGGAGAGAAAGATAGTCATGTATCATAGATACATGTGAATCACATTACATACACACTAAGAGTCTGTTTAGATTGTCTTAAAAAATTATTTTTAACTCAAAAATAAAAAGTCAAACATAAATAATTTTTAAGTAAAAAAAAAAGTAGGGGGAGACCTACTTTTGGTTTTTGACTTATTTTAAGACATTTTATTGCCTTTTCAAAGACTTTCAAACTTATTTAAAGTCATTTATGAATTATTTGAAGTCATTTTGACTAATTTTAAGTTAGTTTTCATATTTACCAAACACTTCCACAAGTCAAAAACTAACTTAAAAGTAGGTTTGACCAATTTTAAAACCAATCCAAACACTCTCTAATACATGTATGTGGTGCGACTCATATGAATTTGGCTAGATACAGAGGAGAGTGGTGAGTTAGATTTGTTTTATGTCCAGATACATGCAAATCCACTTTGATACAGTATATCTAGAACAAAATACACCTAACTTTGACTTCATATATTCCGAGATACATGTATCGGTACACACAAAAATCTGGTCATATTTATAATAATGTAAATTAGAATGTACGAAGTAATAACCTCAGAATCTAGTGGAATTTATGTAAATTTGCCAATATATATATATATGTATGTATGTATGTATGTATGTATATAACAAATATTCAATTTACTTACCTTTCTACAAAAGATTCTAATTATATAAATCTAGTTTACAAGATTTCATAATTTCCAAGTGAAAAAAAAATCATTTTCCTAGCTCTATATAAAGATATATAGTTATGCCTTTGCAAAATCACAAAAAATCAAAAGAAGCATTCTTCAATTACAGGTATACATACCTCCTCTTTCACTTGTTAATTTATTTTCTTTATCAATCTTATTTCTTCTTCTTATTTTACTAATGCTTCTTTTTTGGGGATTTTTATTCAATGCTCCTCAGGTGATTCAACAAAAAATGAATGAGAAACGAATCAAATCCGATGAGCCACATTTGAGTTTGCCTTTGAAAACTCCAATTGAATATGAATCAGTTAATAGAATTCCAAGTCTGGAAGAAGCTCTGAATTCAGAAATAAAACATGGTCAAGTAGATCCCAATATGAACATGAAGAAGTTGAGAAGGTATACACACATCTATTTTTATTGATGCTACTTAAAAATGTGAATTTCTGATGAAAAATTCTTATGAAACCGTGATTTGTAGAACAATATCAAATCGATTGTCTGCTCAAAGGTCTAGGATGAGGAAGACTGAATACATTGATTTGTTGAAAAAAGAGGCCAAAGATCTTGAGGTAATAAAATTCTTAGATGAACTTTTTATTAGAATGTTTTTTGATTCATTATTTGATTTTTTTTCTTGGATGGTTTTAATAAAATTCGATGGTGCACACAAATATATTTAGACAATTCTAACATATAAAAAATTAAGCAAATGTATCATTAATAGATCGAATTATATCAATTGTTACTCAAATCCATTTATGTATAATTATTTTAATTTTTTGTGCATTGAATCTTTTGATTAAAATGACGTTGTTTCAAAAATTTATTTGTTAAATGTGAAATATTAAGTACCCATTTTCATTTGACAGCATGTGATCATAAATTAAACTAATCTCTAGACGAAGTGTACTAATTACAACAACATATATATACAAGAATAAATCTAAATAAGTTATAAAATATATATACGCATGCAAATCACAATTCTATATTCGTAATGTACAACAATTGTTTTTGATACACTAGATAATGGATACGTAATAGTATATAATTTTCTTCAATATCAATGGGTTGGTTTTTACTCTAAACTTATTAGCGCTTAAAAAATATTTCGTATATTTACTTGTGCAGGAAAGGATAGCTTTTTTGGGACGAAAAATAGAAAATGACAAAGACAACAACAAGAAGCTGCAGCTTGAGAATCAAATGTTGCAATTACAATTGGATAGCATCACTAACAAATCTAATTTACTCGCTGGTATATACATATATATATTTTGTTTCCCACAAAAATATTTATTTTTTTATTTGACATTTATGTAGGAACAATTAATAATATAAAAACTACTCACAAAATAACTATAATTTAAAAAACATATTATATAGTGATTAATATGTAAAATAATTGTACATAAATGTTCTCATAATGTGACACTGACATTGACTTTATTCACCTTGATTGTAGTGCAAAATGAAGAGCTGAAAGCTGAGTTGAAGAGGCTTAAGGAACCTGAGGATGAGGAAGATGAAGAGTATATCGACATAGACCAGTATCTCAACTTTGACAACATGAACTTTTCCCCATCCAGGAATGACGGCATATGAAAATGTTAGGCCAACATTGAGTGTTTACAAATATCATCTTTGTTAAATCATTTCTTTTCTTTGAGGTAGTGTTGAGTTTGAGTTTGGGTTTTGGGGGAGGGGGGGGGGGAAGAGGGGGGGGGGGAGGGGTTGACGGGTGTTGAAGTTATGAATTTTCATAATGCATTTTTCATTATTAGATTCCAAAACAATGTTGTGTACTTGGTGATCTGTATGGATCTTTTAACTCCAAGTATAATTTTAAACTGAGTTTAATTTATGTTTAATGAATGATTTCTTAATTATCATGTGATTAAGGTCATACTTTATGCAATTCTTTGTAGTAAATCTGAGAAGGTATTGTGATGTTACTTCTTAACATGATTTCAAGATGTTACTAGTACATCTTGGCGTGTTCAATTCTAGGCTTCTAGTTGGCAATGATAAAGATTTTGTTGAAGAAACTTTCTTAGAGAGGTTCTCTATGTTGGGATATTGATTTATTAGAAGAGATCCAATTTCTTGAAGATTATGTGAAGAAGGTAGAGTAAATTTATTTTTTCAGCAATCCAAGCCAATGGGGAAGTATCATTCCTAATTTCTTACCATAATTGAAAAATCCTAAACAAAAAGCACAGTCTCCATATTTGGCTAGTCTTTTTCTTATAGGAAAATGATTATAATGACATGTTCTATCATTATTTAAAAGTCATCTCACTCGTTATGGAAACCTAATTTTTTGTAAATGCGCAGTCAAATTAATTAAGGGTGACACAAAGTAAATCTTAAAACTTTGAATTTGATTCTGGATGATGTCACTCCACCAGAGCAGGAATTTTACCACTCACTATAGTGGTTGCTAGGACGTTATGATGAGACTAAAACCTAGCAACTACAAATTTTATAATTTGGCTCCTCCTCTTCAGTTGGAAAAGATGTGAGGGTTACTCCAAAAATCCTCCTAGGATGGTCTAAGCTTGGTGACAACCGAGAGGGAGGATTCCAGCGCAAATAACGGGCATTTTCACTATCAAGGTGTCCCGATAGAGGGAATGGGCCTCTATGGTGAGGTAAATCATTATAAATGGAGAAAATAACCTCAAGATCGCTCATTATTATGCAAGAACATTTTGGGTTAGAGATTTTCACTTTTTTCCTCTGGAATCTTTGAAAATATAAGTAAGTTAGTTCCCAGCTTGTTACTTTGATTCATGTACCTTAGAATTGATAGTTGTTATCCTAGGGGAGATTTGGGCTTGAATCAAATGATTTGTTAAATATCTTTTACGTATTAAGGTCAATTCTTTAGTGTGAAAGTTGTTTAGGGTATGAATTAAGGTCACTAGAATCCCCTAGAAAAAAAGTTGAGTTGAAAGTTTCCTTATCAATACACTTTTAATATAAGATTTTACTTAGGTCAACTTCAAATAATAATATCTCTCCGCACATGATGAATTAGGTGACCTAGCAAGTTAAAGTTCTATGAGTCCTTTTTTCAACTCTACCAAGTCTTCCCAATTTTGAGTTCTAAATAAAACGTTCTGCCCGTTTTAGTGAAGCCTTGTCAGCAATCAAAAATCTACTGATGAAAACTATAGGCAAAGGAATGTTCCACGAATAATAGATCCTTCCGTGAAGGCTTGCTACATGTTTTTTCTAGCAACTTCTTGCATGCATTTAAAGGTTATTTTAGTCCTTTTTCCAAACTTTTTTACCCTATTCCTAGGCTTTTTTTAGTGCATTAACTCAGTATATCATCCAACTAGCTAGTTTTCCTCTAAAAATCATCAATTCAACTATTCATACATTTATAAAGTCTCTTAAAACTCATCTTGGGTTCCTCTCCTCCGTCAAGAACCCTCACACATTCAAATCAAAAATCCAAGCTACAAAGGGAGACTTTCCATCCAAAGTTTTTTCCAAGTTCTTCCACTCTAAGAACTTCATGAAAGAATTTATTTTTTCAAGATCAAGCCCCAAGCACAAATTCCTCCAAGAAATTATAGCTAATGTTCTTCATCAAACTCAAGATAAATGATATTTCCACCAAAGTTGTTAGTCTAATAGCTTAATAATCAAGTATGTAACTATCATAGTATTGGACTAGTTTATACTTACACCCTACATATGTTTGATTATTGGACTAGTTTATACTTACACCCTACATATGTTTGATTCAATGAGACTTTACATAATTATCTAAGATTATTGCAACACGCATTAAGTAATAAAAAATAATTTTTTAATTTTTTTTAATGAATGTGACACTTTTCTAGGTATTCGATAGTTAAGTTCAAAATCAGCAAATATGATATCTGACTATTGAAAAACACACATCAATGACATTCATGCTCGTGAGTCGTGACAAATACAAAATAAAGCAGCAAAAGCAATTTCGAAGTCAAAATTGTATAGAAAATGATAGATATTATAAACTATAGACCTTAATTAGATACATAAATACAAACACCAAAATGAAAAATGTATCTAACATGTATAGATATTGTACGTACATGGCAAGTGAGCTTGATGAAAATAGAGAAAATTGATAGCTACATCAAATATAAACTCAATGAAGCTTCTTTGGACAACCTCTTGATTAAATAGAAAATTTTAAAGCATTGAAAATAATTAAATATTAAAATGATAGATTTGTTGAATGAAAGTAACATGAATATAAGAGCGTGAAATAGTTAAAATTACGATTGCATAATAAGGATTGAAGGCTCTATACCAAAATGGACACGTCTATTGTAAATTCTCTAAAAAAAATAAATCAATTTGCATATCATTTTAGCTAAAAAGATTTTTCTTGGACCCCCAACTATCAGTTAAATATTATACATATATTTAAGAATTTAAAATTAGTAATACAATACAGTTTTTATTTATATCAAATCATTTTTTTAATTTTCTTTACTAAATGGTATACCCTTAGCTTATCTGCCTTTTTGTTTTGCATTATAATCTAAAATTATGAAAAGCCATTTTAGATAAATATAATATTCTTATTATCTTTAACACATACCTTTAACTTCTAACTATGATCGTCCTAAATTTCAATCGTAGAAAAAGTATAACAATATTAAACTACTAAAGATGAAAAAGATAAAGAAGATAACATGATCAACGAGGTTTATTAAATCAAAACAAAGACAAATATAACAATGTGTGAGGAAAAATAAGGGTCTGAAATATTAAAAAAAGTTATTAAGCCAAACAACATCATTCAAGCCCTATAATTATTTCATTAATTTCTAAAGAGTAGTTAATGGTTTGCTTTGAGATTTTACTTCTTACTATTAAGTTTTAGTAAAAATTTAAGGAATCCCATAGTGTAATTCAATAATTACATTTTTTCCCGATAAAATTAGTATTTACAAAAAATCCCTTAAATTTGTTGTTTCGTGATACTTTAGACTCTAGTGATACATGGTAAATGATACATGGTAAGTTTAAATTGTTGAGAAAAAAATTGAGAAAAAATGGTACAATTAATGTTGTTACTAAAACAACTTAATTTAAGGTAACAGATCATTAATCACCATAAAATCAGCACGTAATTGGATAACATTCTCCCCTATGTATAAGGTAACATATCATTAAACATTTGGATAATATTCTCCCCTATATATTTTTCAAAGTCCTTTAGAAAATTATTGTTAAAATTGTCAGCAAACCTTATGAGATGTGTTGATATCTTTTTAATCTTGTACTTCAGTGGCTGCAATTTGAAAATAAAACAGCAAATTATAATGATATTGAAATATAAATACTAAATAAAACAATT